GGGCTCAGGTAACCTCACTAACTCGCTGAAAAGCAACGAAAAGACTGCTTAATACAGGTTTTCTGTGAGGCCGTGGTATCACTCTGGTGAAGCCAATGATATTTTAAGGATATTCCTTATTATATTCATACTGCACGCACAAAATATATGTTTCGTAACCGTACATACATCTATTAATGCATTTTAGAACAAAACATACACTTATCTGTGGTATGATATTTCTTTATCTTTATTTACATTTTTGTCGTAATTTGTGCACTTTCTGAATACACAGAAAGGTTTTTATGAATTTTCTCGATTTAATTAGTACGTGAGCTCGCTCGCAGTGGCCCTAATTACGACCCTCACGTTTTGATCTACCTCTTGTTTGGATATAATATCGTTGGGTCGAGCCGGCCCGTTTGTGTCTAAGCATGACTCTCCCGCATACAAACACACGTAAATGTACTCATAACATTTCCAAAACGAACAGAGTATGAATAATTAATTAATTGGCATTTAGCACTTTATTCAACAGTTGATTGTTTCAGCAAAAATTAAATAGAAAGTTTATAATATCAATAAAGAGACTTTAGAGAGGATTTGAAACAGCTATAATAGAAATTCATATGTATGTCAGTATGACAATAAAATGTCTACCACTCACCGGATGGGTAATTGCAGAAAACTAAAAAATAACGGTATATAACGATTACCAATTACTGAATTAGAGATGGACAAAGTCCGCTATTTGGTACAAGTAGCATTTTTGTTCAAATACTTTCACAATTGAGAGCTATCGATGATAGACACTGGTTATTATTGTTCCCACGACTTAGGTTCGTCGACATTGGCGTGTGCGATCCTCATTACAACATGCTTCCGCAATTAGTGATGGGTTCTGGGCTTTCTCGTTACTTATTACTCGATTGTACGTACTAACACACGCCTATTATATACGTTTATTCAATATTTTACACAACTAACAGTTTACTGAAACCCGCGTTATGTTTTTTCGCGCAAGTTACCTTTCTGAGGTTTGTGACCCTTTCGAAAATTTACTTACAATGTATACGCTTTTTTTCTTACTTCACAATACTGAATGGTTTCAATTGTTTAATTAAAACGTAAATCAATTTTACATGAACGAGTTCACCGGATAACTACGTCATCAAACTACCTCCGAATTAATATATTCTCATATCCCGCGTTGAGAAAAAGATAACAACGATTAGGATCAATTAGAAACATTCCTTATACGACGCTGTCTTATAAAACTAAAAATAAATTATCTAGTAAATTTAATAGCTTCCTAATATGTTTAATAGCTTCCTAAAATGTTCACAAAACAGACATTATGAAAGTCAAATACATCAGTAAATATTAATTTATCCGTACGAGTGTGTCTTATTACTGTACACCGTAGTCACCGTCGGTTTTTCGCGTTTATAAACTCCATAAAATATTTATGTGTATTTATTTATTTTAGGTAAGCCAACAAATGTTTACATAGTACATTTATGATTTAGCAACCGTACAAGATTTGCAAAAAAAAAAACACACCTACTTAATGTGCACCCAAAATTTGTTTGTTTTACCACTGTTGTTCTTCTGCTTTTATTTTTGTAAATTTCTATAAGCATAAATATGTATGTAACGAATACTATTACAAGTATTTAATACTCTCTCAAGTTCTCAAAGCTTCGATTCAAATCGGCCATTCTCATTAGATTTCCATTACTGACATGTTTCAATCACATCCAACAGTCATTACTTATACATCATTTACAAATATTCGAATTATTTAATCTCTTCAATTTACATATTGAAATGAAATCATATAACAAGTATGTCATGTAAACAAAAATATTTATATTACGTATCGACCGACATCAGAATCCTTTAGCAAAATGTAAATACATAAATACTCGTACCTTAAACACCAAATAACTATAATATCGTTGATATTCTCAATTAATTTGAAATTAAACGTAAATACCTGCCTCGAATATAGAATGGTAACAAGGAATGTCGATACCTAAACCAATAAGGCGGTAACAAAATGTTTATTAAGATAACAGAAGTAAGAAAAATGCAATAATACCGTTCGACATGACGAGTAATCCTTCTTCTACTATACACCACTTTGTACTTAACACCAGTTTTGTCCCAAGTGCTTATGGACTGTGACAACGGTTCACTAAAGTCCGACATTAAGAAGGAATTACTTGCTGCGCTATACTTAGTTGGGACTTGAACTCATAAGTTTAAAACGCTACAGCCGGTTGCTTAAACAATATAAACCTATTATATCAACAGATTAATGGAACAAAATTATAGTCATATAAAAAGCAATAGTTTCCGTATTAATTAATAACCGTTGCACTCTGATCGGCTTATGAAAAGCTAATTAAACTTGCGTACTCTTTCCCTGATGTCTACGGTGTGAAATGTGGAGCGATGATCAATCAAGTTTCAAATATAAAGGTGATCGTACGAGTTAATGCAATATAGCCGTTAAATATTTTAATATATAACTATGAAAAACTGTTGTACTTGTTTGTAGTTAGTTAGTTAGTTACAAACACTAAAATGTCTGTCTAAAGGCAGAGCTTGAAGAAGATTGAAAGCTGTAGCCAAAGCATTGTATCGTGTAGTGAAATATGTACAGTGAACTATTTTTTTTTTTTTTGTTTGTTGTAGGAAAATCTTTAGACTACCAAATTTTATTTGATATTGTGATATTTTATAATTTAAGAAAAGAAAATTTGGGAATTATTATGGTGTTAAACCTATGGATTGTTGCTTTAAGTATAAAGTACGAGTATATGAAAACTTATATTTTTTTAATCCAACATATTTATTCTTTTTGACATCTAAATAACAATCACAAGTACGATTTAGTATTTAACTATTCCTAAAATTTTAGGTACAGCAACAAAACACGTTTAAAACCACAAAACTAAATGTTAAATAGAGTAGAAAATGAATTTAAAAAAATCCATGAAAATTTACATTAACACAATTAAATAACTTTATTGTAGGTAATAAAGTTATTTATGACATTACTTCCATCCTAATTTTCAAATCCTAATGATTTAAAATGATACGATGTCCACTATAATTTTCATTATCAAGTCACTGGACATTAGGTAATAATTAATATTACTTTATGTACCCGATTGTTCAGAAAAGAGGTTATTAATTTCGATTGGTTCCCAATTTAGTCTCTCATTATGTAATTTAAGTGGAATTTAATGCAACAATGACTAGCTTCTTATTTCATTACCACCCATGGTTCAGAAGTCTAGCGGTGAGCAGTCAACGGTCATCACTCCAACAATAGCTCATTGTCCACCGATGGAAACAAATTAGGAGGATGACGAAGAGAAATTTAGATAGGCAGGTATGATAAGTCATAAGTCTAATTGGGATAAATCGCACACAGTAAAACCTTTACTTTGTTAGTTAAAATTAAAGTTAATATACCCCACAAAAGTTAAAAGATGTCACAAGCTATTTTAATGCAAAGTATTTTTTTCCTGAGTTAAAAGTGTTAACAGTGATGTTATAAGTTTCAAAACCAAAAAGTCTTTTGTCGAGGACTTTGGGTAAAATTAAGAAATATAGAGAAAGTTGAATAGCCGCGTCCTATGCTTCGTTTACCAATTCGAAGTCTAAATTCTAGGCCTTGTTTGTTACAAACGCTATCAGCCCTTCGGCTTCGCTTCAAAATACTACTACAAAATAAAATCTTTGTTTACCAATAAACCGACATAGCTTTAGGAGAGCTGTTGATCACCATGTCCTCCTCCACATCTACTAGTTTTACTTCTACTTTGCGGAGACTTTCTTTGCTCCTATAAGTTGCCAGTTCTAATTGTTGCCATTCCAATTTACTTGACTGCCCGGATGGCGTAGTGGTGGTGGCTTTGTGTCCGTTTCATGTATGTTTGTAAAGTCCCCAGCGACTCAGGATATATTTAGATAGAAAGGATATGCGGGAGTTGATATTCTTAAGAAAACATCACTTGGCTTAACTGAACTAGAATTTATTATCACTTTTAAACTAATGAGTATACAATTAAAAGAGTAGTAACGATATTACTACTTAAGGTTCTATTACTCCATTAGAGATAGATATATCAATTACAATATTATGAACAATCATTAAGGAATTAACTTTATCTTACTCCACTTTCGTCTAAATGTTTTAACGGTTTTGAACTTAGAGATACCAGTGCAATCTTAATTTCTCTCCATCATGGTACGATGGTACTCAATCCTTTGACTAGCTTCATTATACATTTATTACAAGTCTTCATGGAGATGCGGTATTAATATCGATAGTTTTCGGTAGAAAACTACAAAAATACTTTTATTGTAACTGGATTCTCGTACATTAATACATTTATTTAAACCTAATTAACCAACTAAAAAATTGCAAACTTTATTGAATCAAAACTAAAAAATAATAATTAGCTAGTTGAGAAATAAATTATGAATACATTGAGAACGGTTGCGATGTCATTAATTTTGGTTTTATTTAACATAATCAGCGAAAATAAAATATTTTTGAGCACAAAATTGGTCATCAGAGTCATCAGTTTATCACATACCATTTTTGATGTTGTAGATAACTATTATGTGAATACCTGACAGGGTGTCGCCGCGCCGCCGCGGGCTGAGTACGATAAACGGCGCGACGGACGAGCGCGGGCGGAACAGACGCAAGCGCAGGTAGACCCTTTAAAATGACAAGGATAGATATATGTACTCTCTCACTCTCACTTCGAAGTGGGGGCGGTCGGACACAGGCGTATGTTTGCCGTCTGTGCTACATATTATTTAGTTTATAACAGTTCTTTGGCGTCGGAGTACTGTCCTGTCGCATACAGCGCTCGATCACTGTTTATAGTGTTTCGATAACAAAAAACAACAGATGAGTGAAAAGGTGTTGAAAGTTTCGCAAGCTTATCGGCGCGTTGGCGCCAGCCGGCTCTGGCATGGGTGGGCGAAAAATGTTTAAGGCTGCAGCTCTGCTGATAACTCTTGGATATTGTAGCCTATTAGTATACCAAGGAGGTGTTACTTTCAACTTCCAAGAAAGCCGAGCGGGATCTGTGCAAGTGTCGGACTTATCGATTGAACCTGTGACTAAAACAGTTATATTGGATAGTGGACAGAATAAAAATATAAGCTTAGATGACATTTTTATCAGTGTTAAAACAACAAAGCATTATCAGTATACGCGATTGCCAATAATATTGAAAACATGGTATCAGTTAGCAAAGCAACAGGTAAGCATTATCATTTTCTTTTAATATATAAAGTGAATCTATTTATAAATAGTGCTACATATGTATGTATACTGGGAGAAACAATGTAAAACAAAACCCAAATTAACAGATTATTATATTATTTTAGAAGCTAACATTAAAATCTATAGAAAAGTATGCAAGTACCTTGCTGTTGATAAACGGTTTATTGAATTCAAATAGGAACGAAATCGCACCCTGTTTAACAAACTCAACAATAGTGTTCAGTGCCGACAGTGAATACTTCTTCCGCAATGACATTTATTTCAATGACATTCTTTCTACGAGGTACATTCATTCATGGTAATTTAATTGATCGGAATTAATTTCTGGAATACAGATTTCCCGTACTGGGATCTGAAAGAGATAAATCGTACTGGGATCTGAGAGAGATAATAATAAAATTTATTAATGTGTATGTTTATGTATTGTATGTGTATGCTTGAGACCTCTATGTATATACATATGTGGTAATGAGTATAGTATTTTATTTATGGTTAAATATACTATAAATAAAATACTATATTCATTCAATGTAAGTTAGATTTATCTTAAATTAATAAATTTAATATAAAAAAGTCAAATTCTCTGTTTTCTCTTGCACCTACAGCATCATTTTTCTACATCACCCGAAGGTCGACTGGCAGAGAATGCCTTACGCATTAAGTCCGCCTGTGTACAACTTGTGCATTAAGTTAAATAAATAAAATAAATCATTTATATACCAAAATTAAACAAATTGATTATAAATTCATTACATACATCTCCAAAATAATGAAAAGCTCATAAAATATAAAGACAAATATTTGGGAATGTTTAGTTTTTATTTATATATTATTGATAGTAGATCCTTTTGTACAGTGTCTGTAATTTTTCGATTAGGCTGAGAATGTTCCAAGACGTAAATATGAACGTATGATAATGATATTAATGTTTCGGATTTCATTGTATTTATTATGAAATTACAGTTGACAATTAACATAACCCGACACACGATTACAACGATGCAATTCATTGCAATATTTCTAAGGAGTTTCTTTTGTCTAGCAGTGGACCATTAGAAGCTGTTAATTTAACGTGAAATGATTGCAATTGCAGATAAATTATTAAGAGTCTGTCTAAATAGATCAAGAAAAAGAACTATACCTAGTATACTATACTAGTATACTATACTAGTATACAATACTTTATATTTCTAGTAACTTTTTAAGTCACAGCTTGACAGCACACATATTAGTTGATAATTAGACTTTTGGAATCTCATTAAGTATATTTTAGTTGAAAATAAATAGACATTATTACCATTTCCTAATTAGTTTCAAGTAAACATATAGCGCTATGATAATAAACTAAAACAAGTAGATAACATCGCTACTGACTGATTAAAATCTTATTTCAATAAATCTTAACTGTATCCAAATACAGCGAGATATATAATGTGTGCTCGTTCAAAATTAATTAGAAACTTGAGCCAGAACCATATATTATTTGATTATAACTTTTGACGTATAATTTATGAAAGCTGCAGTAATGAAAACGATGATGTTTAGGATATTAGATTGTGTTTCATGTTACTTGGTAATTGTTGCAGATAGAAAACATAATTTTACTTTGCGTCATAATTTTTAATACTCCAAAGATAATAAAATACTAGGCTATAAAGGGACAACCCGCAGAGTAAGCCTTCAATACAGTGGCGATAAATCTTTAAATGTACCAGAAAATTTCACAGTAGCACACACAGCAGGAGTTGCTGTTCATGAAGTTAATGTGAATGTATCTATTTAGCAGATGTGGACTGAAATAAGTCACAAATTCAGTATTTATCATTCATTAAAGATTTAGGATGAAGGCGAACCAGTTTACGCAGGATTTTACGGCAAATTGTAATAGCAGTCATTCTAAATGCTCCTATCTGGTCGGTGTTTAGATGCCGAAACAACGCTATTATGCAAATATTTCCTTGAAGCCGCTTATCTTAGTATTCAAGGCACAGAACTTGTTTTGAAGACATTGGCTTGTAAGAATATGTTTACATCTTAAGCGATGGATTGATTTAAAAAAATAAACGGCAGGAGACTTAACAATAGGTGCATTTTAAAAATCATTTTTTTATTTCTTATATTTCATGAAGTAAATTTTACGCATATGAAATTACCCAATATTACTTGTAATGCAGGCTTTTATAAAAGTTTTTTTTTCCACAGAAAAGCTTTAGCCTAACCTGTTTCCCGTTACCTTTATCGTCTCATACTTAGATACTACTAATTTAATATTCCGAAACTGAGCAACCCTAAATAGCCTAAGCCTTACACATACACAATAGATAGCAGTCGTGCTGCAGCCATTTAACAAGTATTTCCTGAATCTGGAGCGTGCATAATCAACCGTTAATCCGGCGCAGGACTCGGCGCCATTGTGGACTGTGGCTGCGCAGCGCGTGGCACGGCGCGCGCGCAACACGTGACGGGATTGTGTACTCGATTTTGCCCTTTTGTGGTAACTCTTGGTCGTTGATTTATACGCGGCTGCATTTAGTAGGTAACTGGTTTTGAGTAAAGATTTTTTGTTAAAGATATCGTGTTCGTGAAAGTACTTACTGTTTATGCATTTGTTTATTTTCAATCAAAATATAATGTTCAAATTTGAAATTAACGTTTTTGTGGTTTTTCAGTTAAAAACATGAGCCTAATAGGTTTTTTCTATATGCACCACAGTTTACTGCTTTCGTTCTATACATAATGTACCTAGGTACATAGGTTTTAAAAATAGTGTATGATGAGATCATTATATTTATGGTTAAAAAGGTACCAACCTTAATTTCATGAAAATATAGCAAGATATGCAACAACACACATATCAGCTGGTCGTTGGCTGCAGATGTTGATTCGACCCTGAGACAAATAAAAATAAACAGTCGTCCCATATTTATTCATGTGGTAATAATTTGTTCATTGCCTCCTTGCTGACTGGTGCTCCTCATATTAGTTTTATAACTTTTTGGAGACTATAACTTTTAGGCAACATTGTTATTTAGAGATTACTTTAGTTATTAGATTAAGAATATGGAGTGTCGCCACCCCTATTCATCCCGTGGGTGTCGTAAGAGCCGACTAAGGGAGAAAGCTACACAGGACAACAGCACTGGAAAGAGAAGGAAAACTCGATGCAAACCCAATGCTAAACCGCCTGGCGAGCGTGGTATCGTAGGTCAAAACCTCCTTCCTAAGGAGAGGCCTATGTCCAGCAGTAGACTGCTAAAGGCTATTGATGAAAATTCATATTAAAATAGATATACTTCAAATACACTCTTTACTCTAATGAATAGCGTGAAAAGAAATATTATATAATAAATATCGACATTTATTATATAATATTTCTTTTCATGAATAAGTCTTTCATAATTCATTTTTTAGGTGTAAATGCAGACTATAACTATATAAAGTTCAATTTAAATCTTCAATGTTGATGCGAACAGTTTTCTCAAATATCTTCACTCTTTATTCTAATTCTAAGTTCTAAGTCCCCCGCATCACAAAATATAGTCCTAGTGCGGATGTTGTCTTTTTTTTTTGTAAAAAATGTGTATAATATCAATAAATATTTCGTAAGATAAAGTAATATTGCATAATCCACCATAAAAATTTAAATCTTATTTCGGTTCTTAACATTAAATAGAGTAGGCGACAAATCAATATATTTCTAAAACTTACAGAATGCTTTTCAACTACCGTTAAAACTTATTTAAGATAGAGTCCTGTTTAAGATATTATATACTGATTATTTAATAGTGTAGATCTCTCTATCTCATACTAGAACAGCTTTCATTTATGTCTATAATGTCTAAGGAAGGTAATCTTTTTACTTCACCTGAAGTGTATTAATCGTTCCAGTTCAAAGCTTTAAATTTATATATATTTCATATGAGGTATTGATTAATGACATTACTATACCTCCGCTAAATATACCGCTTAGTGTTCAGAGGAACTTGTGAAAAGGCAACTTCTTTGAAATAATAATTAAAATTGTATTAGTAGATTTTGGTGACGCGCTTCCGAATTTAAATAACTTTATTTAAAACGTTTAGGTATCAATTCTCTAAAAGTAAAGACATACCCTTCTAATACCTTTTACTTAGTTACCAAATGTACTGATTAGAAATGTCTCAAGGTTTAAACAAAACTGTTGTGTTACTTGTAAGGCAGATCGTACATATGTAGTGTTATTGAGGTATCTTGGCACCTTAGTCAAACACACTACGAACAAACGTTTCACTGTCTAACGCTATTTACTGAACAGGCATCTGATGTAGAAAGTGCTAGATGGTGCAAATCAGCTTTTGATTTATTCGTTTCTTGTATCAGTGAAATTAAAGTGCCCAAAACTTAACCGTGGAAGATTCATGCTTTGGCTCAAATTAGCCAACTCGATGAGGGTGATACCACAACTCTAAAGACAACGTTTTGAAGTGGAAGCTTCTGTAGGCGCATTGGGCATTTTTTAAACAACAAACAAAATAATGTATTTTTTGAGATGGGGAAAAACCATTGAACTCTGAATATAAGTCTCTACATATATTGGCACCGTTTACACGAGAGTTGAGTTTGGGTTGAAATATATTAATAATATAACTATATATAATATGAACATATATTGCGTATATACGTAGAACATAGATATTTATTCATGTCAGAACTTTTCGAATCTAAAAAACAAAAAAATCCTGTTACAATAAAAAAAATTATAATTAAAGTTTTCACTTCTGTGGGCACTCCCGGAGTGCTACTGTTTTTTTTTGCTGCTTTTCACCGAGTGAGGGAGATTGCCAAAGCTCAACAAAGCCCAACCCCTCCCCTTATACCCGATTCTGATTGACAGACTCAAAGGAGGCTACGCACTTTACACTACTCTTTATTAGCAGGTGTCCATGGGCGGTTATGGTTACTTACTATCATATGACCCACTTGCTCTTTTCCCGCTTA